ATGTGTTTGTGGGATTTTTCATTTTCTTTGTGTAATTTATTTCTAGTTTCATACCTTTGTGGTCTGAGAGACTGGTTGGTACAATTTCAATCTTTTTGAATTTACCGAGGCTCTTTTTGTGGCCTAGTATATGATCTATTCTTGAAAATGTTCCATGTGCACTTGAGAAGAATGTGTATTCTGTTGCTTTTGGGTGTAGAGTTCTGTAGATGTCTGTTAGGTCCATCTGTTCTAATGTGTTGTTCAGTGCCTCTGTCTCCTTACTTATTTTCTGTCTCATTGATCTGTCCTTCAGAGTGAGTGGTGTGTTGAATCTCCTAGAATGAATGCATTGCATTCTATTTCCCCTTTTAATTCAGGTAGTATTTGTTTCACATATGTAGGTGCTCCTGTGTTGGGCGCATAGATATTTATAATGGTTATATCCTCCTGTTGGACTGATCCCTTTATCATTATGTAATGTCCTTCTTTGTCTCTTGTGACTTTCTTTATTTTGGAGTCTATTTCGTCTGATAGAAGTACTGTGACTCCTGCTTTTTTCTCTCTATTACTTGCATGAAATATATTTTTCCATCCCTTCACTTTTAGTCTGTGTATGTCTTTGGGTTTAAAGTGAGTCTCTTGTAGGCAGCATATAGATGGGTCTTGTTTTTTTATCCATTCAGTGACTCTGTCTTTTGATTGGTGCATTCAGTCCATTAACATTTAGGGTGATTATTGATAGGTATGTCCTTATTGCCATTGCAACCTTTAGATTTGTGGTTACCAAAGGTTCAAGGTTAACTTCCTTACTATCTAAGAGTCTAACTTAACTCACTTAATATGCTGTTACAAACACAATCTAAAGGTTCTTTTCTTTTTCTCCTCCTTTTTCTTCCTCCTCTATTCTTTATATATTAGGTATCATATTCTGTACTCTTTGTCTATCCCTTGATTGACTTTGAGGATAGTTAATTTAATTTTGCATTTGCTTAGTAATTAGCTGTTCTACTTTCTTTACTGTGGTTTTATTACCTCTGGTGACAGCTATTAAACCTTAGGAACACTTCCATCTATAGCAGTCCCTCCAAAATACACTGTAAAGATGGTTTGTGGGAGGTAAATTCTCTCAGCTTTTGCTTGTCTGGAAATTATTTAATTCCTCCTTCACATTTAAATGATAACCTTGCCAGATAAAGTAATCTTGGTTCCAGGCCCTTCTGCTTCATTGCAGTAATTACATCATGCCACTCCCTTCTGGCCTGTAAGGTTTCTGCTGAGAAGTCTGATGATAGCCTGATGGGCTTTCCTTTGTATGTGATCTTATTTCTCTCTCTGGCTGCTTTTAATAGTCTGTCCTTATCCTTGGTCCTTGCCATTTTAATTACTGTATGTCTTGGTGTTGTCTTCCTTGGGTCCCTTGTGTTGGGAGATCTGTGCATCTCCATGGCCTGAAATTAGGAAAGTTTTCAGCAATTACCTCCTCAAAGACACTTTCTATCCCGTTTTCTCTCTTCTTCTTCTTCTGGTACCCCTATAATGCGAGTATTGTTCCGTTTGGATTGGTCACATAGTTCTCTCAACATTCTTTCATTCTTAGAGATCCTTTTTTCTCTGTGTGCCTCAGCTTCTTTGTATTCCTCTTCTCTAGTTTCTATTTCATTTATCGTCTCCTCCACTGTATTCAATTTATTTTTAATACCCTCCACTGTGCTCTTCAATGATTGGATCTCCAACCGGAATTCATTCCTGAGTTCTTGAATATCTTTTCATACCTCCATGAGCATGTTAATGATTTTTATTTTGAGCTCCCTTTCAGGAAGAGTCATAAGGTCCATGTCATCTTTCTCAGGAGTTAGATTAATTTTACTCTGAACCAAATTCCTATGGCTTTTCATATTTGTATATGGCGGCTCTAGTGTCTAGAAGCTCTACTCTCTGGAGCTGCTCAGCCCCTGAAGCAATTTTGGGGATTGCAGGGGAGTGGTGTTGGTGCCTGGGAAGAAGAAAGAGCTGTTTCCTGTTTCCTAGCCGCTATGCCTGTCACCACTGCCTGAGCCAGTGGGCAGAGCACACAGGTATGAGCCTCTGTGCTTTGCATTTGTAGTTTCTGTAGACAGATCTTCCCTCTGGCTGGCCTAATGCCAGGGTAGGGTTTGCCGGTTTGCAAGCCAGGTGGGGCTGGCTGGGAGAAAGGCGCAGTAGGCTGCCTTTCTCAGAGGGAGTCCTTGGAGTTGTGTAGCCAGCCCGGGAGCTGGACCACCTGGAAATTGTGAAAGCTCCCAACCTGCTGGGCAATGTGCACCCAGACAATTTTTTCTACCTGTCCTTTCTCCTGAGCAGTAAGCTTTGCAATCCTTGCCCCTTTAGCTGCCCTCTTGCTAAGGGCTTCCTTGTTAGGAAGTTTCCCAGACTGCCCGCCTTTCTTTTGTCCCAGAGCAGCCGGATACGGATCCCTACTTTCCACAAGCCACTGGGATCTCAGTCTCTCCAGGAATTCTGCCTGTCCCAGCTTTCCAATCCCCTAATCATGAGAGTATCATGAAAGTACCATGAAATGTAGGTTTTTGCTCCCAGAGAAGATCTCCAGGGCTAGGTGTTCAGCAGTCCCAGGCCTCTACTCCCTCCCTGCTCAGTTTCTCTAACTCCCACTGGTGAGCTGGGGTGGAGGAGGGGCTCGGATCCTGCTGGGACACAGCTGTGGTACGTTACCCCGTTCTGTGAGGTCTGCTGTTTTCTCCAGGTGTATGCAGTCTGACACAGTCCTCTTTCCTGTTGCTCTTTCAGGATTAGTTGTTTTAATTGTATTTTCGTATTATATGCGGTTTTAGGAGGAAGCCTCTGTCTCACCTCTCATGCCGCCATCTTTCATCCATTCCTCTTCCATAAGAATTTAACCCCTCTCATTTTGGGATGGATTCAGTGCTGATCTTGAGAACATGGTTATGGTTTCTTGTTCCATAGGCAGGCATTTCCTCCCCAGAGACAGAAGTGATTGCTGCTCCTGTGGAAAGCGCTGGACGCACACTACAGTCACAAAAGGCTGCTGAGGCCATGCTTTGCCCTGATCCCCAGGACATCCCTAGGCGTTCACCTGGATTCTGTTTCTGTCCTTGTTTTGCTTGCGAGTAAAACTGAAACTTGACCTCTGTGCCTGACCCAAGGGCACCCAAATAGCAGAGGCCAAGATAATGATTAAACCCAGGTTATAAATTCTACACTCTGACTTAACCTATTTACAAGAAAATCCAAGCCCTCCTTACTGAATTTCAAGGCCTTTTGCCCCACACTCCCCAGTTACTTTCCCCACACCCACCTCAGTTACTGGAGAAAATCTCCCCTCTTTATTATTCTCACAAACCATTGGCCATTTTCCTGGGATTGGTGTCTGAAACAGCTTCTGTCTAAAATCAACAAGTCCCCTTACCTTACCCTTCAGATCGCTTTCGAAGGCACCTCATAAGAAAGAAACCTTCCTAAGTCAGGGTAGAAATTCCTTTCCTTTTATTTTCAGCTATTTTGATGTCTGATTTTCATGGTACCAAAACCCTGACATAATATACAGAACATAAATTTTTATTGTTCGTGTTTGATATTGATATCATTGTGAAACATCGTGTCCTTGTATGCATCTTTTCTAATCATAGAGTCTATTTCATTCTTTAGACACATAGATACAGCCATTCTCTCATCTGTATAGGCAGATAGGAAGGTGAAAGAAGCTAAGATTTATAAAGCATATCTGCATTGCTGAGAATCATTCTAGGCCCTTTCATCCATGATCTCATTTTAGAAGGAAGGAGATGGTATAGGTATAATTGTCCAAGATCTTATCGCTAGAGGACAGGGCACTGGCATTCGGACCCACAGCTCTCTTAACACCAAAGCCCTTGCACTCTCCCCTCTGCATACCTCCTGGTTCAGGGAACAGAAGGCCTAGGAAAAGGAGGAGGGCAGGGACAGGAGCCCCTTCCCAATGGAGGGCAGAGTTAGCTGACCCTCCCTGCTGTAGGTGCTCTTGAGCTTTTTTTCTCTCTCAGCCCCTAAAAAAACCTGGACCATGTCCTTTAGGTCTCAGGTGTCTCTGGCATTTATTAGCATCCCTTTCCAATGAATTATCAGAATTCATATTAGAGCTTTCTCCTGCAAAAGTTGTTTAAGCTGTGCCATTGCAGCCTCCCTTGGATAACCTGTAACTTGAAAGGGTAGTGGCTACAGGAAATGGAAAGGACACACAAGGTTGGAGGAGGCCAGGGCATCCCATCAAAGGCTTGATGGTTCTCACGTACCCGACCCAGGAGACTCCCTTCTGAGCCACCCGGATGTCTCCATCTTCCTCACCCCCTCTCCTCACCAGTTAGCGAAGTGCTGCCCTCCGATACAAGGAAGAGAGGAGCTGCTCACGTCACCTGCTCAGTAACCGTGCTTTCCCAGGCACCTCCTGACCATGAGGAAACCAGAGCTTAGCTCCTGGTTGCACTGAGTGGAAATCTTCCTGTGACCAAATTGAGAGGCCTACTTTGTTCCCAGAAGATCTTAGAAAAGCTACATGACTCTGTCAATGTGTAACATTGAGTGAGTCAGATAAACTCAGAAATAAGGGTTCTTTGCCCCAGTCAACTAACATGTCCTGAAGAGAAGCCTGGGAATGAGAAGTTGCTGAATTTTTCCCCTCAGCTCTGCCACTGATTCACCCCTTTTGCTTGACTAAGTTTTACTCTTCTTGTATTGGAGTTTCTCTATAAAGAAGTGGCAGTACATACTTTAAAAAGAGCTTTTCACTAGATCTTAATACAGGTTCCGAGTGCTCATTTCCTGCCCTCACAACATCCACCTTTCCAGTCTTTCAGCTCCAGCTCTTCTCTGTTCCTCTCAGCCCCAGGCCATCTTTCTCCTGTGCATTCCCCTTGCCTTTGGCCTGGGCCTCTTTCACAACTGTTTCCTTCATGCCAGAAGCTTGCCTTCATGTCTTGCCCCCAACCCCCCGATGGACAGTGACCCCCTAACAGGCAGTGGTTCTCTTTCTCCTGTGATAGTCCCTCATTGACATAAAAAGTGCTCATTAAATATTTGTTGAATGAGTAAACATAAGTCTATATTGAGAACCATAGAATCATAGAGTTTTTAGGTACTGAAAGGGTCTTATAACTAGACTTCCTTCTACAACACGTTCTTTTTTAAATACCCAGTAACTGCAAGAGCACCACTTCTCTAGGCAGCCAGTCCACTGGGGACAGTTGTCATGTTGTAAAGCCCTACTTACATGCAGCAGAGATCTGCCTGCTTTCAAGTCCCTCCTGTTGGCAGTGGTCTTAGTATCCATCATCCTCTTCCACATGCAAGCCTTTCAGGTGTTTCAAAAAACCAATGATGGTTTTAAATCTCTAGTACATTCCATTTTGTCTTTCTCCCTCTTAAATTATGCTGTGGTCTTCTTGTAGCTAAAGATTTGTGTTTGCTGAAATAATACGCCTTTAAGTGGAAATGAGGTAGAAATTAATTCCAGGGAAGACTGTATGAAGTCAGCATCAGTATATTTAAGTGCATTTTGTCATGTTTCCAAAGTTATATCCCCAGTCTGGACCTATCCCTGAACACCAGACTAAGGCACAGCGCGCATTTACGGGCATGTCGGGAAGACGTCTCGAATTGGAGCCCTCACTCTTCCCCAGTTGCGTGAACCCAAAATGTGGCTCGTTTTGGTTCTTCTCCTTCTCACGATCCTTCATGGGGAGGGAATCCAGTAAGTTGTCTGCACCTCTGTTGTTCGCACCTGATGTAAGCTAGTGTCCTTCCTCACCTGGGCTTTTGTGATAATTACCAGATGGTCTTTCTGCGTTTACTCTTGCTCTGCCATTGTCTGTTTACCACACAGCAGTCAGAGGAGATTCTGAGAAAAATGTACGTCAGATTGTGACTGCCCAAGTTCAGAACCTCCCCACCCTTCCCTCAGTAAATGCTAAGTCCTCACGAAAGCCGGGACGCCTGCCCTGTTGCCTTCCTGACCTCACTCCCTTCTCTCCTCTTGCTCACTCTGCTGTAGCCACATCGCCTCGCCTTTCCTCGGACATCACAGGCATACTCTCTCAGCGTCTTTGCACGGCCGATCCTCTGCTGGAACCTTCTTCCTCCCGATCTCCAAGTGGTTCATTCCTCCACTGCCTCAAAGTCTTTACTCAAGACCTTCTTCGTTGAGGTCTAGCCTGACCACCCCCACTAACATTGCACACATACACCAGCACTTCAGGGCTTCTTATCATGTTTTTTCCATATTACTTACCTCATTTTAATATAGTACAACTCCAAGATACCATATTTATTGTGTTTTGTCAGTCACCCTGCAATAGAGATTGTCAGCTCTCTGTGAGCAGGGTATTTTGTTTGCTAACCCACCAACACTACCCTTAACTTCACATTATTTCATGGTTCTCCCTACATAGAGTAATTATGGAAGTTAAAATGAAACTAAGTTACTCATTTTTTAATTTTCAGAATAATGTAGTTTCAAATTAATTAGTCCTATGGTAAAATAAAACTAATGTGAATAAAAACTAAGTAATAGTTTTCTACAGTAAATGGAATCTTCTCTTCTTAAGAAACAAACCAGGAACTCTGAGGAAGCTTTAGGCAGAAATTATAAAATAACCAAAGTTTCTTTGAATTGAAAGGCTTCAGTCACTGTATACATTACGAAATTTATCAAGTCTGCTCTGTGAATGCCAGGAACTTACCACGTTCATCCACATCAGTTCTTACCTGACCCCAATACATTGCCAATGAATTGCTTTATAAGTTAGAAAAGACTAGCTAGGAGTCTTGGCCATGTGTGTTGGATGTTATATTCTGGTCACATGTGGGCTTCCAGCATTCCACGTGGCTATCCTGATTAAGACTCAGTGGTTTGGGGTCCCTTTGCAGCTGCCCTAAAACCAGCTTCCTTACATTTGGGTGGAGCAGGAATGTACTAGGATGCTCTTTTTGAGACCATAGAATTCCAAAGATGTCTGTTGTTTCTGATTATGGCAATAATTGTTGAATTAAATGCAGTCTGTGATCTCAAAGTAATGTGCTGAGTTTTTGGCCAATACAGAACTAAAATATCCAAATGAAGATGGTCCCCTTCAAAGATTACACCTTTGGAAGAGTCACATTTATTTCAGGGTCCCTGTTGTCTCTCAAAACATTTGGAATTGCCTTCAAAGTCTTCATTGCCCTCTTCTAAATATCCTAAGTGGAATCTTTTTGTGCTTTGAGGTTAGATTTGACTTTTCTATATAACAGTAATTTAAAGCTAAGTCTAATGAATAGAGGAAGTAAATATTGGCTAACATTTGTTGGTTTAAAAAGAAAACATGAATATCAGTTAATAAGACCTGGACAGGGGTTCAGTGGGGTGGCATACCTTACATGCCATCATAGTAAGGAGATTTTCAAAATATTTTGAACAATGCAACATCCCTTAAATATGTCTGTAATGTTCTAAGATGACCTCATTTACAAGTATAAGTTTTTACCTGTGGGTAAAAAAGTATCTGAGGTTTTTATAGTCAGACATCCTATATATTCAATATCTGATTTCTATAATTACCAGACTCTAAGATACTCAAGTGAAAAAAACTGGGTGCTCTCCCCAAAACTCCAAGTAAATGTATTGCCACATTGAAACTAAATCTATAGAAATCTGAGACTTGAACCTTAAAAACATTTTCCAAAGCTGCAGAGAAGGATCTGTGAGAAGGTGTTTCCTACCACTTTTAGAAGATCACCACAAGAATAGAATGAAATGAACCATTTATACCAGGTATCTGTTAAAAGTTTTTCTCCTTGGTATTCAACTTCCTATTTTAGAAATTATGGATCCCGATGAGCAGTTAGAAACCCTCCACAATGCACTGAAGCTTCTGCCGCCTGCTCACTGCGAAACCCTCCGGTACCTCATGGCTCATCTGAAGAGGCAAGTTACACACTTTGAAGCTTACGCTTGCACTGCATCCACATTTCAGTGAAACAAAACCAAAGGTGACAGAAGGACAAGTGGTCTATTGAGTGAATAAATCGCTCAAGTTGAAGAGGAGGAATGCTAAAATATTCTGCACTGTAGTGCTGAATGCAGACTTGATTCTGATATAAATGTAATTGCAGTTCTGTTTGCAACTATGTTAGAAATACCAATATTCTGTCAAGGACATGCACTAATTTTTGTGGAAAGGGAAAAGTTGCAGTTGTAATGACACTAGCATTAGTATAATAAAGCAAGAGAAAAGGAGCTTGCAAGAAGGCTAATTTTTCTTACTTCCTGCTCTAAAATAGGCACCTCAGACTTGGTGATGGATTTTAGATTACTGAATTAATGTTGCCAGTGCTGAAAATTTACATCATCTGTAAAAAATGATGGAGTAAAGGAAGAAATAGAAAACAAAATATTTCAGTTACTTCTGGTTTAATGTTTTTAAGTGATCAACGGTGATGCAGCTTTCTTTTCCTGCTTGGTCACCCCCTATCTCTACCAGTCTACGCAAAGTTTCTAAAATTATATAATCAACCTTCAGTGCTTTTAGGGTTTCAAACATAAGACTAATTAGAAGCAAAAAGACAGCAGAACTTGACATCTATTTTATTTGCCTTTAGGCATGAGTTACCAGGAAATGAATATTTAAACTCAACGGTACTTTTAACATTGATGTGTTTTCCTGCTTTAAAAGCACCAGGAGTTAAAACTTCTTTAATACACTTTCAACTTCACTTGTAAATTCAAGTCTGCCTCATATATGGATGCAGTTAAGTACCCCACATTAAAGGGAAGGAGTAACTCACATTTTAGGCTCTGTGCCTTTGCTGTGGCAGTAAAGAGAATATAAACACTTACAGTCCCTGACAGGGTTGCTTATCCTGAGCCATTTCCTAATAATATCACCACCACTCTCCCTAGGTCCTCAACAAGCTGCCCCACTTAAACAAATACTCTACAGCAAACAAAGTAGCCAAATGGAGGGAGGGCTGAAGGAATAATGAAGACAGCCGGGTCCCTGCTCTACTACTTGCAAACATACGCCTGCAGCTGTGGCCTGGGGCAGGAGAGTCCAAAGATAGAGCTGAACCCATGCAGTCCAGCACATTCACTCAAGCTCCAGCTGCAGTGATCACAAGAAGTTTAAACTATTTTATTAACACAATTTATGTTATGAAAAGTCAGTACCTTGAAGGTAAAGACATGTGCAGGGAAACAACATAGCAGAGTTTGTTAATGAGTTTCCTACACATGGCCTTTGGTCTGGCGCAGGCCCAGTGAAGAACCCCAAGGCTCCCACGACATCATCCTCCCTCGCTTGTGTTTTTCAGAGTGACCCTCCACGAGAAGGAGAACCTTATGAACGCAGAGAACCTTGGAATTGTTTTTGGCCCAACCCTTATGAGATCTCCAGAACTAGACGCAATGGCTGCATTGAATGATATACGGTATCAGAGACTGGTGGTAGAGCTGCTTATCAAAAATGAAGACATATTATTTTAAATGTTTTGGAAGGAAAAAAATGTTTTACAGATGAAGGAATGTTTTATAGTAATTTAATTGGCTTAGTGGGATTATCTCTTGGCTAGAAGTTTAGGCATATAACCAGATTAAAATGAAGGAACTTCTCATTGTTTTTGTAGCACTGCTAAGCTGTCCTTGTAAAACAGTGAACAAATGCTTTCCCTTCTAGTAATCCTGGGTGTTTATCATGTTAAGAGAAACTCAGGCTATTGCATGATTAGCCCCCTGTCTGGCGAGAGAACCCCATGCAAAGGAGACAGCAAGCCTGCAGCACTTCATCCTGGGTGGTCTGTGGTGGTGATTCAGCATGTTTCACAGAGTGAATCTGTCGTGACTTCGCTTTTGTTTCCATGCCATTGGTTTCTGCTGCTTATATAAGCATGCACTCAACTGAATAAAACAGTACCTCTGGCTGCTGCTGCATTGCCGTAGACTATAACATATGCCTACTTCTTTCAAATGCTTTATTTCTGGTTTCTCTTAGTTCTCTAACATAGTATTTCCTTTCCAGCAAAAAAGCAAAGTGTGTTTTCAGATTTGTTACTTCAGTAAATTATCCATGCCAATAAAAAAGTACAATGCGGAACATTTTCTGTTAAATTATTATTGGTTTTTAGTTGTGATTTGTTATTATCTGGCATGCACTTACTAATTAAATTTGACTTTTAGAAATCAAAAATATTGATAGCTTACTTTTTTCCCATGATTGAGAGTATTTGGAAAAATGTGTTTGGCCATTTAATACTGAGTACTCCCTTGTTTCCTGCCGAAAGTTTTGTGTTGAGCTCCTATAACTCCAGGGAGGGGAAATCCTGGGGCAAAATACTTCGAAACCAAAATCAGTCAAAGGGAGAAATAAAGTTTAAAAACCATTTATTGCTTACAAGCAGTCATCCCGCATTTCTCTCCTGCTGTGGCAGAAGGGAGCGAAAAATCCTCACCCCAACCTCTCCGGTCCAGTCATTGCTCGCCCATGTAATTACCCATTGATATGGAGATGGTACTTCTCTCCACCCCTTGGAAACACCTTTTGTTATGGAGATACACTAAAGCCAGGCAAGATATTCTGGAAATACTGCAGTTTTACCCAGAGGTCACCCCTACAGAAATCTTGCTTTACAATCTACTTCAGCAATGGTCCCTGGGTGAGAAAACCGGAGCATTGTAACCAGACTAATGACATGCAATAGCAACAGCAATGAAGTCGTGACAATCCTCAAGCAGGAGGATTCAGCAAGGTTCAAGGTCCGCAGCAGCTGCAGCCAGGGGGCGTGTCCAGGCCACAGAGACTGTAGAAGAAAATAACCTTAAAGGTAATAAGATACTTGTTTTAATGACACCAGCATAGGCAAATCTTGTCCATCAGGTAGAACACATGGAAGAGAGTGGTCCTGTGATACAACAATGGCAGGAATGGGATCTTGTCCTGGTCTAGTTACCAAATTCACTCCCCACCCTGTGGGAGTTAGAGATGAGTCAGTGTAGGGCTACCAGAGGCACATGCACTGGCCATAAAGATAAAACTTCCCCGTAAGATCCTCGTACCTCCTGGATGTTTTTGGTACACTACTGTGACCTTTGGGGGCAACTCTGTTGTTACTCCAGGAATACACAGGAGGCCAGCTTCCAGGCCTTTTCCCCAACTTGCCAGGAGGGCCAGCCATCACTGGTCCATGTGTTGAAAACTCCGGGGCTGTGTCCACTCAACAGTGTCTCCAGGGTTTAATGCAGTTGGGGCTGGCAGCAAGATGTTGCTCTGCTGGCCTAGCCTGACCTCAGTAACTCCTCTTTGGTTTGCACATACAGGTGTATAGGAGAAGCAGCAGTGTGTGTGTGAGCATATCCACAGGGCTCAAGGCTCCTTTTCAGGGCTTCTCATTCAAATGCCATAGGACTGTCCGTAAGGAAACTGACCGGCCCCATAGACTATTGGTGTCTGACTTCAGGCCAGATTTCAACAAACCATTGTACCTCTTTATCATGCCTGCCCCAGTAGGGTTATATGGTACATGACACTTACACTTTATTCCTAATTGCTGCACCCATTCTTGTAACACATGTCCAGGAATGTGGGTATGTTGATCGCTCTCAATCACCTGTGGCAAGTCATAGGCTGCAGAGAGATGCTCTAGGCCATTTTTGGTGGTTTGCTGGTCTGCATGATGTGCAGGAAAAGCAAAACCAACAGGCCAGTAGCCATGTCCACACAAGTCATGGCAAACTGATATACTGATACGGGCAGGGGTCCAATATAGTCATTCTTCCACCTTTCCTATTGTCCCATGTTGCTGTAGGACTCAGTGTAAGTCCCTCTTAGAGCACACAAGGCACTCCTTCTGGGCTCTGCTGACTTTTTCAAAGGTCAACAGCAAGCCCCACTGACAGGCTACAGCCCACATTGTCTTTTGCCGTACATACAACAAACGCTGATGTAACCGTTGGGCCACATCAGAGGCAGGCTTTCCTTCTAGCCAGTGCACCTGGGCCAATGTGTCTGCTTCCTCATTCCCTGGGGATGCCAAAGGCAAAAGGCCAGTCACATGATATACGGTAACAGTCTTAGTCTGACCAGAGGCCCATAGGTTTTGCCACAACTCTTGCTTAAAGGGGCCAGTGACCAACCATCCAGTTGGCATGATACCATGTCAGTAGCCACAGGGTCAAGCCCCAACAGATGGCCCAGCTGTCAGTGCAGACAACTCTAGGGGAGGGTTCCTGGGTGATCACGAGCCATACTGCCTGCAACTCAGGCCATTGGCTGCTCTTCCCCTCTCCATCCTCCATCCATATTGTCTCAGTCTTAGGATGGAAAGCCACAGTCCTCCACTTCAGGGGCTGCCCAAGACTGTAGCCATCTGTATACCAAGTACCTTCAGGTATAGGGGCTTTTCCCTCCTGATAAGGAGTCTCAGCTAGGAAGGGCTGAAAAGCAAGTTCTATCTTCTTTCCACTGGTATAGGTCACTGGCTGCAATGAGCATTGGAGTTCTCCACTTAAAGGGTAGTAGAGAGGGTGCTACACTGCTGTAAATATGTACCCCATTTGGTCAGTGTAGGCATCTGTGCCACACCCCTCTGTGGCCTTTGGGTCCCGTCTCACACCCACCCCACGATGAAATAGGTGGTTATTACCTTGGTTGGAGCTGATCCTTCAATGGGCTCCATAGCCAGCAAGGCGTGTTACACAGCAGCCAGTTGCTTCTCTATATCTATTAAGATGTACCGGACCTCTGTCCCTTTCCATAGTTGTGATCAGAATCCAATAGGTTGGCACGTTCATTCAAGCCGCTGCCAAAGACCCCATCCATAACCATCTTCCATTACATGAACATCTAGCCCACAGGGCTTGATGAGTTCACTACACTCAAGGCCTGTACAGCCTTGACTGCCCACTTGGCAGCAGTAAAAGCAGCTGCACATGTTTCATCCCAGTCCCACCTGATGCCCTTTTGTACCAACCAGCATAAGGGCTTCAGAATTTGTGCAAAGTGCAGTATAAACACTCTCCAGTAGCCAAAAATACCCAAAAACTCTTGTAATACTGCCACAGTGGTAGGGGTAGGGAAAACCTGGCCCTTATCTATGACTGTTTCAGGAGTAACTACTTTTACCCAACCAGACAACCCCCAAGAATTTTACAGACAAACCAGGTCCCTGAACCTTGGTGCTGTTCATAGCCCATCTTTTCTCACGTAGATGTTGCAGCAGTCTAGGAACTGCCCCTTCTAAATCTGAAAGAGAATCAGACATGTGCATGATTATCATCAGTGTAGTGATAACAGTAGCACCATTTGTAGTTTCTTCCATGTGGCCAAGTCCTGGGCTACAAGTCCATGACAGATGGTGGGACTGTGGAGGTATCTCTGTGGAAGGACAGTGAATGTCCACTGCCAACCATCCCACATGAAGGCAAACTGTTCTGACTTCCCTGTGCTATGTCAATAGAGAAGAAAGCATTAGCAAGGTCTACTACATAATGATACATTCCCAGCTCATGACTGAGTGTGTCCATAATGGCTGCTATAGAGGGGACAGCAGCATACAAAGGGGTTGTGATTTTATTCAATTCCTTGTAGTCCATGGTCATACGCCAGGAGCCGTCTAGCTTTTTCACTGGCCACACTAGGAAATTAAAAGGACTATGAGTGGGCTTTATGATGCCCACCTTCTCCAGCTCCTGTAGAGTTTCTCCAATTTCCTTGTGCCTCCCCTGGCAACTTATACTGCTTAGTATTTGTCACCTGCCGAGGTACAGGCAGAGCTACAGGTGGGTGATTAGCATGTCCCCTCTGAACTTCCTTCACCACACGTACCCTCAGTCTGAACCCCCCTGCAGTGATCGGTAACCACAGGCCCTGCAGGATATCCAGCCCCAAAATACATTCAGGGATGGAAGGAATATACACAGTGTACTCCTTTGAGGGTAAATACCCCATCCCCAGTGGGATTTGGGCTTTCTTCACTCTAATTGCCTTCCCCCCATGGCCATCTGTCATAGCAGGGGGCCTGGGAAAATGTTCAGGGTTGGCATGAACCAGAGAACACTCAGCTCCTGTGTCCACCAGCATGAGGACACATTCACAGGGGACCAATGAATTGCTAATTCTACATGTGGCCTCTGGCCCCACCTCATCTCCCCCAAGGTAGGGACCTTGACCCCTTCCCTCAGTTGAACTGCAATGCCCAATCATCATCCTATGGGGGTGAGGGCCCAGGCAAATCCTGAGTACTGTTTTCCAGGAAGCTTTGCAAAAACGCAGGCTAGACATGAGGCTTTGACTCCAGTTTCTGTGTCCTGAACCTCAACGGCTGGAATGGCTGCTCTGGCTTTAATTGGTGCCACAGTTCTAACAAGATCCTGTTGGACTGCCCGTCAAGTTTTTCTTTATACCCTAGCCTTTATCAAATCAACCCACATCTAGGTCTGTGAGACCTTCACTGGGCCTTTTGCACCTCTCCTTTCTGTTGTGGCCTGAACTTCCCTCCATGCCCTTATTGTTTCAACCTCCCCCAGATCTTCTAAAGTACAAGTAGCCTCACTTATGGGATGCCCTATGTGGGGAGCAAGAGTAGTCACTAGGGACCCAAAGAGAGATGTGGGATCTGTATGCAGCACCAGATTTCTCATTCCTACCATGAACAACTCCTCATCAGGGCCCTGGGGATCCATATTATAGAGGGTACTTTTTATGCCCAATTCCCACAATGCCTGTTGGAGCTCTACAGTTGTTTTCCAGCTAATGGGTAAGTATGGTAAATCACCCTGATCAGGCCAGACTGCCCTGATGGCAGCTGTCAGTCAATCCAGAAGTGTCTGATTCCCTGAGGCATGATGGGCACTTTGCAACTGCTGCCTGAGGGAAGGGTGAGTCATCAGGGAAGCCAGTCTACTCATCTCAGTACCCGACATAACAATGTTTTCCACCCCCATATCCCAGAGACATAAAAGCCATGTAGGCAGAGATTCCAATGGCTTCTGCATATACTGGACGCTCATGTCCACCAGCTCATCCTGGGTATAGGGACGGAGCATGGAGCGCTCCACAACCTGGGGAAGGGCGGCTTCTCCCCCTGAGGAGCCTGTGGT